GGAGAGAATGTGTTGGAATCTATGGTCACTTTAAAATCTTTTAACAGAGCTTGAACGTGTTAGACTTGGATGGATGTTAACCGAGAGCTACGCACATTATTATTGGAAGGATTGCGCTAATAACAGCAAAAGAAAAATCATTCAAAACTGAAAGGCAATTAAAATAAAACAATTCTATTGTAATTTATATAATGGAAAGTTTTTCGTTAAAACTGCAAAAGAGATAAAAAAAAAAAAAAAAAAAAAACAATACAGACATGTTACAGCTTATTTAAACTTGTTCTTCTCATTTTTTTTAATAAATATAAATCTAAAAACATGATTAATGTGAGTGTAAAGTAAAAAGCAGCGATAGATTTAGATTGCGTTTCCCGGCAGTACAGACATGAGCAGAAACAAGCGCACATGAACCCGAGGAGAAATGGCGTCAAAGGGGATTTTCTTGGTTTTACTCTTAATTTTCTGTATAGAACAGAAGTTAGGTTGAAAAGTAAATTACTGAAAACTAAAATCATCGATACATGTTTATTGTACTCAATCAATAATGGATTACTAAAGCATTTTAATAAATAAAAGCTAAGCAGTAAGAAAACTTTTCAATTTCATCTGCCTGAAGTCGTTCAGGAAATCAGGTAGCCCGATAGTTTAAGCACATTTAAACTTAACTATTTAAGTCACTGCCAGTAATACAACCATATGAATATGTTTAACTAGATAAAGATGTATTTAAAAGCTCTTACCAGGTGGTTTATCAGTCATTATTTGACCAAAGAGAGTGAAAAACAGAAATAACCAAGTCGACATCATGAGGCTTGATGTTTTCAGCGTCTACTTCGCTTCAGCTCTCAATTTCCGTGTTTTTTTTTTTTTTTTTTTGTGGGGGTTTTTGCTTCCTGTAAGTGACACTTTCAGTACCTGTTACGCTGTAATTGTCCTTCCTGACAACTTGGTTGTGAACTGAAGTATAACATTCCACCAAGTCAATGTTTTGGGAGTCATATATCATGCTTAGAATTAATATCTTATTTAGAAAGGTACAGATCTGTCCTTAGCTTGATTCTCTAACCTCCTGACAAGTGTGCTGCTATATATTAACACATCCATGTACATCAATATGCAAAGAAAGCTGAAGTTTCTGGCCTAATCACTCTGAGAGCTCATTCACAACATATACAGAAGGTCCTAAAATTTAAACTAAAGCACTGGAGCTCTCATTTGTTTCAGTTACGATCAGAAAGAGTCAACAAGAAGAAAGAAACTGCAATATTGCATTAATTCTGCTGCTGGGTGCTGTTGATTCAAAAGGTCACAAAGACACTTCTCATTTGCTTATGTAATAGATAGTCATTATATAGTGATTTGTGACATGTTTATTTAGGTTGGTTGAATATTCAAAAAATTTCCATTAAAATCCAATAAACTGTTATCAAAAACTATTCTTTCACTCAACAGTCTTTAACGAAAAATGAATTTTTGCTGCAAGTTATTATTATTAAAACAGAGGCCTGTGAAGAAGAATCATTAATTGAGAATCAATTAAGTAAATTGATCTGTTTGTGAGATTTGGAAGATTTATAAGGGAATTTTATGCTTATCAGGATTGAACAGCGAAAGGAAGGTGCTGGATCATTACCATATTTCCACCTTTTTGCTTGAAACTCCATAGGCAGAATTGAATTGAGAACAAAACATTTCACATTAGAAGAGTCCACTTTTATGTGAGCCTAAGTGTGGGTCAAGGGTTCATTGGGGACGGGGCCAAAGACAGCTCTGGAGAATTGAGACAGGCTATGCGCTCAAACCTTCAGCAGGAATTTGCAATTGAAGTACACAATGGTGGAAGGGCAGGTATTGGGACTGGGCTTAAGATGTCATGCTACTTAAGTACAAACTTGACCAAGCAGGATCCCATGTGAATTCGGCGGGGAAAAAAACGTATGTTTTATGTTACAGCGTTTTAGTTAGAACCGAATAAGTGATATGGTGTATATACTGCACTCTATACTTGATGAATTAGTAAAAACTGTAATAGATGAGAGCTACAAATAAAACCTTTATTTAACATATTTCAGTTCAATCTCCCAGAAGTCTCAGAAAATCAGATAGCAACTCTAACATGCAGCTGCCTATAGATGTTAAAGTTATTATGCAGTCTGGTTATTCCACCTGCATTCAGCTTTTCAGCACCTCTTTTTTTCACTTCCAACTGCATTTTTACATAGACCTTTTGCCCCCATAAACAATCTTCACTTTGATTTGGGCAACCAAAAGAGTTATGTCTGAAATTTTAAAATAAAAAATTGTGTACTAGTATATCTATTGAGTTACATGGCAAACTTTGGGTAGAACATTAAATCTGCTTTCCGTTAAAGTGTCCTTAAAAAGGAGTTTTCTTATGACTCTTTGAATAACTCAGTCATTGAAGAGTAGGCTTCAAAAATATCAGAAAAGTGGTTAAATGGGGCAGGATCAGTTACAGGAAACTAGGAAATGTTTAGACCCTTAGTGATGGTCAAGTGCAAAATATGTCATTCGTTACCTAGCGTTTCTGATTACCTGATCCTGGCCTGTTCTTCCTCTCAAATACTGAGCCTGCCTGTACTCATCGGATCTCAGTAGTGAGCGTGTTTTAGCATTACCTTAATGTTTCTGATTACATTATCCTGGTCTGCCTCTCAACCACTGAGCCTGCCTGTTCCTGTTCTGATCTGTTTGCCTCACCTGGCTTCAGACTGCTGAAACTCTGAACCCGCCTGTACCTGTTCTAATCTATTTGCCTGATCTATTTGCCTGACCTGTCTTCAGTCTCCTGCTTTTTCTCCGGGGCTGCAGCATCTGATATCTAGGATTATTCTTATTCTCCTCATTATTATAGGAGAATAAGAATAATCCTAGATATCTTTTTAATACAGTTGCCAAACTCACCCAGAGCCATAGCTCTGTTGAACCATCCATTCCACTTGCTCTCAGCTGTAATGATTTTAGGATATTCTTTATAAATAAGATTGATCTTATTGAAAATAAGATCATAAGCACTCCTCTAAAAACAATTGGTTTATCTCTGGAAGGGAAGGCAGCATCTGAGGTAGCCATAGAATCTGAACCGGGTTTAGACTGCTTTAATCCAGTTAATCTTACAAAGTTAGCAAAACTTGTCTTCATCTAAGCCTCCAATTTGTACAGGTTATTTTAGGAGGTATTCCCTTTGATCTTCTCCATTTTAGATGTGATTAATCTATCTCTGTTAGAGGGATATGTACCAAAGGCTTTTAAGGTTGCTGTAATTAAACCTTTACTTAAGAAATTTACTCTTGACCCAGACAATTTGGTCAATTATAGACCTATATCCAATCTTCATTTCTTATCTAAAATTCTTAAGAAATTAGTTACCAAATAAGTGTGCAATCACTTACACCATAATGAACTTTTTGAAGAGTTTCAGTCTGGCTTTAGAGCTCATCATAGATCTGAAACAGCTCTGGTGAAAGTCACTAATGAAATTCTCATGGCCTCAGATAATGTACTTGTATCTGTACTCGTCCTGTTGGATTTCAGTGCTGCATTTGATACAGTTGATCATGATATTCTTTTGGAAAGACTTGAATATTTTATTGGAATTAAAGGAACAGCACTAGACTGGTTTAAATCTTATCTATCTGATTGATTTCAGTTTGTTCACGTTAATGAAAAATCCTCCTCAAGGATGCTCAAGGATTTCCTCTGGAGTACCACAGGGATCAGTGCTAGGACCAATTTTCTTTTATATATGCTCCCAATCGGTAGAGTTATTAGACAGCATGGGATTAATTTACACTGTTATGCTGATGATACTCAGCTATATCTGTCTATAAATCCAGATGAAGGCATATCTTGAAGACATAAAATCCTGGATGAACTTTCTGCTTCTGAATGCAGACAAAACAGAAGTTATAGTCTTTGATCAGAGTCGTTGAAAAAGAATCTGATTAGTCAGCCACTTAATTTGAATGGAATTAAACTGATTTCAGATAATCAAGTAAAAATTCCTGGTGTTATTATTGATCCGGACCTGTGATTTAAATCCCATTTCAAACAGGTTTTTAGAATTTCCTTCTTTCAGCTGCGGAATATTGCAAAAATTAGAAATATCCTGTCCTGGGGTGAAGCTGAGAAACTAGAAACTAGGACGTAGGGACCCCTATTTCATCATTCTACTTCATTTTATCTCTATTCTGCCACTCTGCAGACTCTGTTAGTTCAATCTGTAATGCTATGCTTATTCTGCTTTTTCTAATAGTAGCTTCATCTGGTCTATTCCTGTTTGGCTGTGACACCATCCTGAAGAGAAATATCAGCTGTGCTACTGCCATCAACACCGTGTCTGTTTTTCAGTGTAGTCCTGTTTCTCTGACCATGACTGGCTGGATGTGCTCTCTTCGTCCTCTGACATGGGAGCTGGCTCAGAGCTCGTCTGCCTGGCTGTGTGTTTCCTGGACAGGGCCGCCTTTTACAGCTGCTTTTTGTGTCTCTGCTTCTGTCTCCTTGAACCCCAGTCGGCCTCGGCAGATGGCCGCTCACACTGAGCCTGGTTCTGCTGGTGGATTCTCCCTGTTCAAAGGGAGTTTTTCCTCTCCACTGTCGCTACAAGCATGTTTAGTGTGAGGGATTGCATTCGAGTCAATGAAACAATGCAATCAACTGGTTTTCCTTAGATAGAAAACTGAATCATTTTGACTGTATGATCTTGTGAAATGTAAAGTGCCTTGAGATGACATGTGTTGTGAATTGGTGCTATATAAATAGTGAATTGAATTGAAACTATTAAACCAGGTTAGTGACTCACATTCATAATCTTCCTCCTTATTTGCTAAGATTTTCAATCATTTTATTGTTGTTTCTACTAGCAAACTAGCATGTTTAGCCTGAAGAATAAAAGAGGAGGAAAAAGAAAGAGGGATTAGAAATATCAATCAACAAAATTTGGTCTTGAATTTTTTTTTAATAAAAAGAAAAATAGCAAGTTAACATCAGGTATTACAAATCTGGGTAAGCAACGCACATTTAATATAACGGATATAAGCAATAAAATTAAGAATTAGTTATAAAAGATTAAACTCAAAGGTGAATATTTGTAAAACCTTAAAACATGCATCACTGGAAGTAGAGTGATACAGTGATACAATGATACAGTGGTAATTTTACAACCCTGGATAGGCTATCAAATTATAACTGCTTCCCAAAATAATGATACAAAATAACATTGTGAACACTTTTTGGTTAACTATAACTATTCATTTCCTGCATCAACTTTAAAGTCAACAGGTATGTTTTTTAGTATAAGTTCTTACATTTATAATAAAAAATACATTCATACAATATCTTTCAGTCTCTCAGCTTCAACATAGATAAAAATGTTAATTGAAAGAAGTAAAATAAACAAGTGGTTTGTAATTTGTTTGTACGCCTCTTCATAAATCCCACTTCAAAATATCTAAAACTAGAACATACTTTTTGAACGTGTCCTCAATATAAACCAACCTGCTAAGAAACCCATTTTTGGACTATTTTTCAAGGTTCAAAACATCTTTCTGCTACTATATATAGTTTAGAAATCCTGATGCTATCGTACATGGGTCACAAATGCATGATGCATGACCTTTTATTTCCAGTTTACTTGCTTGATTTTTTCATGTTTTTCTGAAATCCAGCTATTGTCCTATTCCTACAGTATGTCAGGACATTTGTCCAACAACAAAAAGAAGAATTGTTCCAATTTGACAGATCAAAATTTGCCTCAAACAACATTTACACCGAAGCCTTCAGCCCTGCCCCATCCCCTGCGATGGTGATAGAGCAGTCGGTTTGATCGGTGGAGGTGGTAAGGTTGGAGCTGTCAGAGCCGTTGCTGTCGGACCGCGAGACAGGTTGGTACTCGCTCACAGTGCAGGCTCGCTCATTGAAGGTGCTATTAAATCCATCTTTAATAAGGCCTTTGGGGAAATGAAACCAATCCTTAAAAAAAAAAGAAAAAAGGTAATTTTCTTGCATCATCATTCATACATTTATTACATCACATATGAATAAAGAGATGAAAGAGTTTATTTTTTTTGTTTTGATCAGGAATTCATGGTTTGTCTGACAGTGTAAATTGAAACCTGTGTAAAGATATTTAGTAATGTGCCACTAATACTTGTGTCATTCAATCAAAACAAAGTGTGATTATAAAGGTGAACTCATCCTTAAACACACAACATTGTTAAAATTTCCATCACACTTGTCCCTGCTGGGGACAGCAAGGGGTGCTGGTGCCTATCTTCAGCTGTCAATAGGCAAGAAGCTGGGTACAACCTGGACAGGTCGCCAGTCCATCGCAGGGCAAGACAGAGACAAACAGGACAAACAACCATTCACACACTCACACCCGTGGAGAATCTACAGAAGCCAAACAACCTGTGGGAGGAAGCTGGAGTACCCAGAGAGAACTCATGCATGCACAGGGAGAACATGCAAACTCCATGCAGAAAGACCCTGGGCCAGGAATTGAACCCAGAACCTTCTTGCTGTAGGGCAGCAGTACTACCCACTGCTCCACTGTGAGATGTCATGAGTTAGTTTCTCCCTTGCTTTTCTCTTGTAAGGAAGGAAACCCTTTCACATCTAAATATAATTTTACCATGGCATTTCTTTGTAGATACTATATCATAGATGCTTTTCCATATGTTCAGGTTCATGTAACCCAAGCTTTGCTAGACTGCAGCAAGAAACAAACAAACAGGATGAAATATTAATCTTGTAGATTACCTCAACATCAGGAGAGTTCAGTACGGGCTTGGGAAGTGGAGGGATTAGGATGATTTTAATCCTGTGTGGGAATAACACACAATTTCATATAAACCGACATACATTACAGGCATTGGTATTTTACTGAATTGTAGTAATTGGCTTATTTGTCTGAAAACAAGATAGTACATAGAATATTAAACATCAGATTTAATACAGTACGGGTATTTTTCTCTACCACAAATGTGCATTATTTGACTATTTTTTGCATAGTGAAGACATGTTTAAGTGTAACAATGAACTGTTCATTTCTGTATTTAATGATAATAATTAAATAAATTTCAGTTACAGGTTTCAGATTCGAAAAGCAATAGGAAGGTTAGAATAAAAAAGATGCAAAAAGCAAGAAAAGTTGAAAAAGTTGAAATATATAACAGTTCAGGAGCAAGATAGATAGATAGATAGATAGATAGATAGATAGATAGATAGATAGAAATTGTTTTTGAAAAAAACATGCAAACATGCACATTTTTTACATAAAAAAACATTTCTTTGGTTGTTATTATTATCAATTAATGCAATATTATTTGTTTTTTTTTTTTTTTTACTAAAGTTAGCATGAATTAGAAAAAAAACAAAACCATGTTTTTTTCATATGCTCACCTGGTCAATGTGTGGTAAAGTGGTTACATTTATTATTTTAAGTATTAGAGATTTGATGTGTATAGTATATCACTCCATGGTTGCATATAATATATTATTTTATGATGTCATTTATTGTAATTGTTTTTACTTTTTGTTTTCTTTTCTCCGTTTCATTCAAAAAGACCAGTGTTGTGAATTAGCCATGGCTGTAGACGCTGTGATGCTGTGATGCAGACATCAGATTATTTCTCATATAATGATCTATGTTTATCTGACTCTAGAAAATACTGTACACCAAATATAAAACATGCAGTTTTCACTGCATGAGGTTAAACAGCAAAAAAAATACAATAAAGATAGTAAGAAAAATATTACTGGTCAAAGCAACAATTTATTTGAACAAAACTTAAAGAATAAAATGACTGTAATAAAAAAATAATACCTGAATAATTTAATATATTTAAATTTTCTGTAAAATGTACATTTATAGTTTAGATGAAAATTTGGTTTGAATTAAAATGACAAAATAAAAAAGTAATGAATCCTGACATGACCTACCGTTCACTGTGCAGTAAGATCATGACCAGAAGAATGAGGGTGGTGGCACCAGCAGCATACAGCACCGCTGTCCACACTGATATTCCATTATTTCTTATATTTGTGTCTGGGAAAAGGTTTAATGTTCTGTTAACTTAGATTTTTTTTCTGCATGTGCAAAATGTTTAGTATGGAAAAATGAATCCTGCAGCCTTACCTGTGGTGTTATTGAATCCCCAGACCACAGGCTCGCTCCAGTCGCTCCAATATTCCGAGTCTCCACAGTCATACTTTAATTTGCTCCTCACCTGTAGCTCATATCTGGAGCTGCTGGAGGGCAACTTCTGGCAATAACTCTGCTTATGAAACACTGACAAAATCTATGGCAGAAAACAGCTCATGAGATGTCGGATCATTAGAAGGAATATAATGAGAAGAAGAAAACAAGCACCTCCCAGTCGCTGTTGTTGATTCTGATTCGTACTTCACTGTCGACACATTTGGGGTTAGTCTGGTTCCAGTAAAACCACAGGTTAAAATCAGATCCATTCTTTACCGTCAGGTTGGTTGGTGGGTTTAATTTCACTAATGACAGCAGGGACAGAGGTACAGAGGTACAGAGAAATGTAATGTAATTTAAATCATTAAATCAAAACAGGATTCTGGATTTTTAAATATGCAAGATTTTTAGAAGAAACTATTTATTTTTTCACGGAGTTGTTCTATTACCTACCTTTAGTTTTAAGTTGAAGTTCCTTCTGAAACACCTGACTGCCGTCACTCAGTTTGGTGTAAAATGTGTCAAATCTCTGGCGTCTGGTGTAGTTGTAGGGACGCCTACATCCAATGTTTATTCCGTTCTCTAACAGATATTCAGCACAGCTACTTTGATCCTCTCCTTCAAACCTGTGTAAAAATGTTCTGTTATTTAACTAGATTACACTCATAACAATTGTAGCTATGACAAGGTCACATACTATATTAGAAAGAATCTGTGGTGTGACTTTTGCCGGCTAGTGGTTGTTTTACGAATGTGGGAACATATTACACTTTAGAATACAATAGCGCAAATTGAACTGCAAACAATTAACTATGTTGCTAATATACCTCATACTCACCAGAAGCACATGTTAAAGCATCCTTGCCAAAGAGAGAAGTACATTGTTTTTGTGGAAAACTAAGGCCTCACCAAAATAATACAAATAGAGTTTTGAATTTAGATAAAGGGTCTGCAACCTGCCGCTAGTAGAGCCACATGTGGCTTCTTACATTACCCAATGTGGCTCTAAATAACTTTATTGAAGTAATTTTTTTTTTAAATGTAAAGGCCAATAAAGACAGCTTGGGTGTTTTTTCATGGGATACATGAAAAAACACATGCATTTGTGCAATCATTGAAAACAGATATTTGAGAAACAATATATCATATAAAGTAATTTTGAAAATCTTTGTTCTGTAAACTATTTGGGTTTTTTTTCTTAGCATTTTTGCCACAGCTCTGTGTTTCAGAACATTAATCGAGTAAGTCAAAGATAACATGCGTAAACACCATACTAAGTTTTAAACACCAAAAGTAGATTTAGAAATAAAGATTTTTGTAGTTAAAGGTATAGAGGACAACCTTTTATTTCCGGGTGGATCACCTAAATAAGTGGTCCTCCTAACTGTCAATCATTTGGTGATATGTTTACGTAAGGCTGTCGAACGTGCTTGTTGTCAGTTAGCTCTTTTTCTTTGCATGCTCACTTTCAGGCGTATATGTGTGGTGAGCTACAGTTTCAGACAGTCATTGAAGCTCACCTTTCTCACCGTGGTTATTTGAAAATGCCCAAGGGTTGTAAGAAAAAAAGTGTCTAGGCAGGTATATCCCAGAATGTTTTTCAATAAGAGCTCCCCATCGCAAAGCATTTTGGGAATTGCTGTCATATCGGCCAGCAGTCGCCATAGACTACCGCTACCAGACAGCGGCGACTAATAACAAAGATGGAGCAGGCACAGCGCTGTGGAGGAGGAGTTACGTGACCAACGGGGAGCAAAAATCAGTGATCATCTGTCTGAATGGTCAGTTAAGTTCGTTATAAAGTCCACTACATAGTCCAGGGCTCGATGTCAACCATCGCCTGATCTCCCGGGGCAAGTAGTTTTTATTGTCGGGAGAGTACAAATTTCATTGCACTTGCCCGGCGGGCAAAATCGCAAAAAAAAAATTTTTTATCACTCAAATTTACTTTAAAATAACCGACATTCGACGAAAATGACCTAGATGTGTTGCCGGCGCCATTTTTGTTGTTTTGTACATGATTTTTGTACGTGATTTTAAAAAGGTGTGTGATTTGAAAAAGCCGGGTGATTTTCCGCCAGATGGCGTGATTTTTGTCCACCTAGCGGTAATTTTGATGTAGTTACCAAAACGACAAACGGCTGCATTTATTTTGTCAGGGAAAACTAATCCTGAGTCGGTTAAAAGTCAGGGAATTCTGATATTATGTAAGACTGTGGAAACACTGTATAAAATAATTATGTATAATGATTCTCTAGAAAAGTCACATTATACTGTATTAATAGTATTATCTTGTATAAACATACCGTGACTCTAAAATAAAAGTTATTCATTTGTGAGATTGACTTCTGTCTTGTGATTTATCTTAAGATTTTAACCTGTCAAGTTTTTTTTAGATTTTTAACATTACAATTTATATTTTTCCAAGCACACAACAGTTTAAAGCAAAGTTTAGTTTGAAAAGAATGTGCAGGAATGATTGAAAAGCATGTTAACACGGTAATGTAGGCTTGAGTTCATTATCTGACGCATGCATATACACACCAGGAACCTGGAAACTTAAAAAATACTGAATTACAAAAAACATTTAAAAAACAAACATGTTTCATTGATATATACAAAAATGAATATTAGGAACTATATTTATCAAACATTATACTGGGCAAGTAAATTTTGTTTCTGGGCAAATAAAATGTGAAAGTCACTTGCCCTTTGGGCAAATGGTAAAAATCTTTAACATCAACCCCTGTAGTCCCCACTCTATATTGTGATTGAGGGATTTAGGGGTTAGAGCGGACGTTCAAACTTAATAGGCTTGTATGAGCTATGAGAACAGTAACTTTTAAACAGAGCGTGCACGAGGAGAAATGGGCTTGTGTATGCTCTTGCGCACGATGAATAGGTGTTCCCTCTTGGGAGCGGGTACAGGGTTGTGCGTGTGCATTTTTTTTCTCAAGTGGACAGGGCGGGTCTTTGCGAAAAAAAAACTTTACGAAAATTGTCCGCAATACCTTTAAGAGAAAAAAAACATACTCCTAACATCCTCTCCATGTGTATAAAGGGACCCTTTCTCCTATTACAAAAACAAGACTACAGTTTATCACACCTGAGTTTACTTCTATGGCCACAACCAGGCCTGGTTACTTCCAAACCTGTCCTCAATCAAGAAATCGCTCAAATAAGATCTGCTGTCGGAGTATAGCGAAAATTCCTCGTAAGCTATATCAAGCCAAGATCTAAGGAAATTCAGAAAAAAAACATTAGAAATAAACAGAGATGTACAAAAGAAGTACAAATACTTCGTTACTGTACTCAAGTAGATTTTTCTGATATTTTTACTTTACTGCTTATTTTAATGGCGACTTTTTACTTCTACTCCTTACATTTTTACACAAATATCTGTACTTTCTACTCCTTACATTTTAAAAAATTGTCTCGTTACTTTAGTTTTGAATCGTTTCAATGGAGTTACCGTTATTATTTTTCACATCATCAATACCAAATTCAATCTAATTGGATGGGAATCTACGTTGCATTTGACGCACCACTACAAGATGAATCGACAGATTCGGCGGTATTCATTGGCGGCAAATCATTGCAGGTTGTTGGCGGTGGCGTTAGCATAGTAGTATGGACGACGAGATGATTGAAAATCATCGTCCTATTGGCAGACATCCATTTAAAATGTAGGCAACGGCATGAAAAAAGTGGTTTCTACTTTTACTTTTATACTTTAAGTAAATTTACAAGCCTGTACTTTGTTACTTTTACTTGAGTAAAGAAGTTTAATCAGTACTTCCTCTTTTACCAGAGTATTTTTTAACACAACTATCTGTACTTTTACTCAAGTACGGAAAGTGAGTACTTTTGCCATCTCTGGAAATAAAGGGTTACAAAAATCTTCAGGAGTCCACCAAATCCCACTGAGAGACACTACCAACATATGGAGAAAACTTCCAACGGTGGGGAATCTTTCTATGAGCTGCCAGCTGACCAGTATGAACTCCTTCAAAAGGAATCCAAAAAAACTGCAGCCCTCACTTGAGTCACTTAAAGGTATAGTTTTTCTGGGTGGATCATCAAAATAAGTGGTCCTCCTAATTGCCAATCATTTGTGTGATATGTCTACGTAAGGCCATCCTACGTTCTCATCTCCATTTTCATTTACCTGTGGTGAGTCTGACATAGTGAAAAAATTGCAAATCTTTTGGAAAGTAAGCTTGTAAGAGCGATATAAACAGCAACTTTTAAACAGAGCGTGCATGAGGATAAATGGATTTCTTTAATAGGCGTTCCCTCTTGGGAGCGGGTACAGCACTGTGTGCATTTTATTTTTTAAATGGAGAGGGCAGGTTTTTTAGAAAATTTGCGCAAAATCCTCCACTATAGCTGTAATTAATGTCAGTGTTTATGCTTCACTATGACATTCAGGCTTGTCTCATTATTTCCAGAACATGATCCCACAGACATCTGTGGACAAAACTTAAACTTTTTTTTAGAAAGAGTGTATCCCCATAACATCTATTGTAAATTGAGCCCTACATTTTAAAAATAGGAACAACAGCACATAACCGCCACTTTATTTAACCCTACTGTGATAAATAGAACCATGAGTTCCTAAAGAATTCCTGAGCAAGAACCTCCAGCCATCTGTAACTAATCTCAACCTGAAATGAACCTGTAATCTGCAGGAGAACAATGACCCAAAAACACAAAGCAGGTTCAACTCTCTAATCAAGATTTGTAGATCCTAGTTAAAGGCCTGACCTGAATCCTATTCAGTTTCTATGGCATTACCTTCAAAAGCCTGTTTATACCTTCCATTCTGTCTGAAATACATCAATTCTGCATAGAGAAGTGGGATAAAATTACCATAGCTTTTTCACAACCCCTAAGGTAGGTAATTATTGATGCTAAATACTTTTAATAAACTGTTTGGAGAAACTATTTAAAAGGATATCAAATTTATGTTATATTTTTTAACTCAATACAACTGAATGCTTTGTAGGTTTACCTCTTTTAGCATGATGTATCTCCAGCTTTAAATAGAACTTAGCTTCTAGCCAGAAGTATTTTTATTATCGTGAGTATAAGTATCTCACCTTCAGAAAAACAACACCTTTTAAAAAGCAGCAGCTTCTATTCTGAACTTTATAGCGTAATCACCCACAAGAATAAGTATATCAGTAAGTATCAAATAGACTCGGTCATCAATATCTTTGTTCTTTGTCACAAATTTAAGCCATTTTAGTCGACACGTTTTTTTTCACACTGGCTATTTTGCTTCTTCTGTGTTCTTCTTTGTTTTACTTATGCTTTGTTTTGGGTTTCTTTACTAAATTATTAAATAATATTGAAAACTGTGACTAGTGATTCCAAGTTTAATGATTATACATTTAGCTAGATTTCCCTGCATTTAGCTTAAGTTGACTGAGTTTTTATATTTAAATGCTTTTAAGTTGAAAGTGAAAGAATTTGAAGCAGCCTCAATGATCTGTAATTGTTTTACTTGATATGTTTTTTATTTATTATGTACCTGTCATTTTTAAGTATCTATGTTTAATGTAACTTATATAGCTTTGCTGCCTCTTGACCAAGACTCCCTTGAAAAAGAAGTTTTTAATCTCAATGGGATTTTTTTCTCCTGGTTAAATAATAAAAAAAATAGCTTAGTCTAACACCCTGCTAACTCTGAAAGGCTGCTAAAGAGTAACATTTCCACAGCATAATTCTGCCATCACCATATTTGATCATAAGGAATGTGTGTGTTTAAAGTATTGTAAGGCAGACTGTATTTACTAGTGTCCCAAAGTGGTCAACCATTATTTTATATTAGTATGACAGTAAAAAAAAAAAAAAAAAAAAAATATATATATATATATATATATATATATATAATTTTTTTTTCTTCATTTGATTGTTATTTAACAAAGGTTATTTGAGGTCACAAAACAATAAACTCAAATATTTTTTTTTGTCAGTTCCTCTATGTTATTACTAGATTATTACCACTAGATACATACCGGCTGGAAAAAGTGTAATTGACGTCTGGAGTTTCCTGCAGGTTCCAGGAACAGTTAACATATTCCAGGTTAATCACCATGCACTGCAGATCTATCATGACACAAACATATTGAACAGTTTCATGATACATATGGACAAAAATGTGTACAGCTGCAAATATAACCTAGAAGTCAAATTCACATCATTATGTACATTTTTTAACATATGTATTTGTTTCTTTCTTCATTTTTTCCTCTTCAAACCTTTGCATTGATAAATACATTATCTATGCATTCAGCATAGATAATGTATTTATCTGCAAACACTACTATATTATACTATACTATACTTTTTTTAAACTGTCACAAGTACAGAGTAATGAAATTCACTCTGCATTTAACCAATCCCCTTGGAGAGCAGTGGGCTGCCATTGTGCAAAAAATTGATTATAAAAAATGTTAATATATACAATAATGTCCTAAACAGCATGCCGCACTATTTCTGTCATATTTGTCACAATTGTCCCATATATCCATATATATAGATATATAAAGAGGAATATAATCATATATATATT